CCCCGCCGGGAGGCAGAGCGCGTCGGTGTCCCCCACTCCTACCCCCCTCCCCCGAGTTATCACTTCAGGACGACGATTTACGGAGGGGGGGTGTGTACGTGCGTGTCAAAATTTACTTGGAAAAGGGCAAACCTGTGTTGGCGGTATGGCTGGGATGAGTTCTTCGCCTCCCAGCCAGCTTGAATTTCGTGAGGAAAATCCCGTTTTCCCTCTTAGTCTTTACAGAGTGAAATGGTATGAACTTTTTAAGAGACACACACACACACACATAGATATCCGTCTAGTTTACGCTGTATACTGCATAGTCATGCTTCCTAAAGGACCCCAGTGGATCGCAAGGAAGAGGATGACAGCCCCCACCCTGAAGAAAAAAAAAAAAGAGATACCCCTTGGGCTACTGAGATAACACCAGCATCCTCACCCCTCTAACACCCCTGTGAAACCCTCCCATCATCCAGCATCATAGTAGCAAAGGCCAACCCCGGGGATGTCTAGATCAAGCAAGAAGCAGATGGATGATGGCACCATAGAATTATAGTTTCTTTGCAGCAGTATATACGTGTTAAGTAGTGATTGATCAAATCGTGTTGTATCTGGGTGCTTGAAAAGTATCGGAACCGTGTGTAAAACCAGATTCAGGGTGCCCCGGTTTGAATGGGACACCTCATGCACATGAATAAACGAATTACTCTTGTAACTCTATCCTTCATGTCCCAGCCTCTCTCCTCGGCTGGCACGGGTCAGTTGCAAAATTTTCATGACAAATTCTGCTGCTGAAACTTGTGCCTGCTGCCTCTCACCACTGACTGCACAGCTCCAGCATAGCCCCCTGTTAGGTGGTTGAAATCAGCAGTGAGACTCCTCTTGCTGAGCAGACCCAGATGTCATCATATCCACCCATACATAATCCCTCAAGCAGGCAAAAATTCAGAAAGCATGAGCAACACCTGAGTTAGCAGGTTAATCCTGTATCATCTGATTAGGTAGAAACAAGACAGAGAAATTATTTGAGGTCAGAATTATTCCCAGTTTTCTTTGCTTGGTTTTATCTTTTCTGTGATTTTAATGACTCATGTAATACACCTCTTCACAGGAGCTATTACGTACCACATCTGCATCTTAATTCAACAACCCCAATAATCTCAGAATGTGTCTCTCGTTGGCAAGCAGACAGAAATTGTTGTGAACCATGAGCCCTGTTGGATTTTCCTATCATTCTCTTCCTGCTAGGTCATGGGTGCTTTGTCCTGAGGTCACTGTAAGCCCCCCACCCACCCCCCAATATATACAAGAACTCTACCAGAAATCAAAAGCTTTTGATACTGTCTTCCAGAGTATCCTTTGGGACAAAATATCCAGCACACGGGTAGACAAGTCCATGATAC